GCTAGGCTAGGAGAGTGAAAATTACCATACGTATATAAAAAAATGTTAACCCTAACGATCATCAAATTGTCAATACAAGTCTAAAATCTATCAAATATCTTACGGACTCCGAAAATGACGTACCCAAATTTAACATTTTGCAATAAATTTTATGGATTCATGAAAGGTATTACGACTTTGACATAACTGTAAAGAGCTCTTCTTGCTTGTTTTTTTCTTTGTTTTTGTTTTTTAACTCTACATGAAGTTGTAGGCAGCAACCCAGCTGGAAGGCTGTTCAAATACCATCTACGGTGAGATTTGTATGGTTTTTCTAACAGCGCTCGCCTCTTGGCTGCTAAACTACTCAAACCACCGCTTGTAAAGGGTGATTTTTTAGCAACTATATTTTTGGCAGCACTGGCTTAAACAGCTGACGCACGTAATATGTTTTGTATCACTGTCAAACATTTTCAGTTTGGTCCATAATTCAACCATGTATCGTCTTACAAACGAACAATGCTTACAAATTATTGAATGTCATTATCAAAATGCATGCTCTGTTAAGAAAATTCATCGCGCGAGCGCTTCGGAGCTCATTTTTGGCTTAATGGGTGCGTAAATCAGCGGAATTGTCGATTTTGGAGTGAAGATCAGCCAGAAGCATTGCAATAACTACCAATGCATCCAAAAAAGTCACAGTTTGGTGCGGTTTATGGGCTGCTGGCATCATTGGACCGTACTTCTTCAAAGATGATGTGAATCGTAACGTAACTGTGAATGGTGAGCACTACTGTGAGATGATATCAAACTTTTTTTTCCCCAAAATGCAAGAGCTTGACTTGCATGACATGTGGTTTCCATAAGACGGTGCCACTTGCCACACCGCACGCGTAACAATGGACAATGGACTTATTGAGAGACGAGCTCGGTGAACATTTTATTTCGCGTACGGTCAATTGGCCACCTAGATCGTGCAATTTAACGCCGAAATATTGAAAACAGTATGCCAAAAATGGACTAAGCGGATGAACCCTGAGGCGTTTGAGGCGCAGACACGGTCCTCTTTTGCATGAAATAATCTTTAAACATTAAATTATATGGACCGTACTATCGACTCAATCAATGTGTGTTTTTTTTTCAAACTTCCTTAAAGCTCTTAAAAAATCACCCTTTATTTCTAACAAAAATATAGAGGTCTACATATGACTACATACATACATACATTTTGTATTATAAGAGTACACTTAAGTGTTTTGTTTTTGTGCTACCATTTCAGCAGCAACTAAAATAATTAAACGCAAGAAATTAAATTAAACCGTAACCTTCAATCTTTTAACTCAACAATTTATCCAAAAATTTTAAATTCTCTAAATTGCACAAAATTTTCGTGAAGGTCATGGGTAAAGCAACAGAAGGCAAATAACGGTAACATGTAATCAATCGAAGCAACCACAATGTAATTTTGAATAATGAGCGTGTAAATAACGGCAATTGGTGGCGTAAATACTTTATGATTACAATCGGTTTTAACGGTCAGCAATAATTAACCGTTACAATTCAATTATTATAAATGAAAAAATAAAAACCAAATATATATACATACATACGTATATTATATATGTATTTATGAAAATCTTTTCAAATCTTTAACGTTTTAATCAAATCAGAGTATCTAACAGACTGGAGTGCGAATAATAGTAGAGTTTTGTACGTATGTATGTTAGTAAATATGTATGTATGTATTGTATATGTGTGTGAGTCATTTGAGCACAACAACAATTTATAACAAATTACACAAAAACAAGTCGATAAATGCTGATTAATAAGCGTAGACATACATACAGATGAATATTGATATGTATGTCTGTACACATGTATGTCTGTACATATGTACTAATACCAGTTGCAGTGTTACAATTCAGTCAAGCAATAAAAAGTAAAAAAAAACTCTCTCAGTTTTGTTTTAAGGATCGACTCAACACAATGCGCCAGTGAACTACTCATCAGCGTACATACAAATGGTCCTATGTATGTATGTATATACATATGTACCCATGCAATGCTCATTAGATATGCATGCATTTGTTTTCATTACATTTTTTTTCTCAGTTGTCCGGTTGTTTGGTATGCCAACAATGGCATGCAGCAGCTTAATAAGCATTTATCACCAGAGATTGCAGTGAGCGCCACCGGAGCAAAAAGCAACACAAATAAAAAAACCGAAACGAAGGCAACCAGTTGCCGTTAGCAGCTACTCGTATTAGTTATTTGAGAGAGAGAGGAGTGATCATGTTATGCACATTACCTCAGTATGTCTTCAAGCTCATAATTCGTAGATATTTTTGTTGTATACCGTTAACAAAACTAACATTTTTACGGTACTTTTAAGTGAATCCAAACTAATTCTTTAACAATTCGTATTATCCTGACGAGACGATAAATTTATTATAGAAAATTTATTACATGAAATAAAAGTACCTCATAAATAGTCAGTAACCGTTCGATGTTTTCTTTTCTACATTAGCGCAGGCTCTGCTTACGCGATAACAACCGAACCAAAAACTCTTTCACTCCTTCTTTTCGCGCGAGTTGGAAATACCAAGTGAAGCCAGATCACTCTCCACCTTATCCTTCACACGGAGCGGAGATCTTCCTAACCCTCAGCTTCCGACATGAACTAGTCAGCGTAGCCGCTGTTTCTTGATTCGCTGAATTATATCAATGTTACCGTAAAACTCATATAGCTCATCCCTCCATTGTCTGCTGTAATCTGCAAAGGACCATAAATCGTTCGCAAAACTTTTCTCCTGAAGACTCCCAAGGCCAATTCATAGGATGTCGTCATCATCCAAGCATCTACACAATATATCAGCATGGAAACGATGAGGTATTTGTAGAGTTTTTTCCATCGAAAGAGAACCTTACTTTTCAATTGTCTACTCAGTCCAAGGTAGCATCTGTGTTTGATTTCAGGGCTCACTTTGTTGTTGGTGCTAATAGTGGTACCTTGATAGACATTCAGGGCAACTTAGTATAAAATGAGAGTCTCTCCTTTTCTCCGGGAAACCTCAAGACACAGATCATAATTAATTAAACGCTTTAGGAGTTATAAAAGATACAGAAAAATACAAATTTTTTAAATGTTGGTCGTGTCTCTCGATGTTTGATAACGCTTAGACTAAGTCTAATCTCATTCTCAATCGTTTCACAGCATGACTTAGCTTCATGTCAACTACAGTCTGTGACCATCCAGATGAGTAGTTCGAGGCTGGAGGTATTGGGGGGGGGGGGGCACCGTTTACGATTTTAAGGTCATGTTCGTTTGGAATTTCATTTTTACACTAATGTTGTATGGAATTACTGTTCTTCCTACAAATCGAAACTGGATCGTCGGTGAGAGTTTTTTCTTCCATCTTACATTCATATTCCAAGTTCTTCCTGGATTTCTTAGTCTGCTGCTGCGAGGTGATTCCGCCCTTACGCAACTTGACAGCAGACAATTTTGGTATTATATTTTCCAACAAAATCACATGCTACTCTACTGCCGCAAAACCAAATTAGGGGCGAGTCTGAGGAACAGAGCTATGACCAAAAACAGCAACTGTCTTGACTTTTGAGTCGGTCCGGAAGAAACAGAATAAGAGAACGAGTTTGTTCATCAACTATTATGAATTACTTCAAGATATAACCATATAAAAGTATGTAAAGGAAGCATTACTTATCAAATTAATCTAATTTTTATCTCGGTAACCGAAAACCGCCTCTAGTAGGGAGCGGATAACTCAGTGAAATCTTAGAATTTTGGCTTCCGAGAACAATTATTGCTACCTGAATAAAACTGACCATGAAGACAATACATTCTGAGAATATAATTTCAATATACGAGTAGAGAGAGAGAGAGAGAGTACCAGTCAAATCCAATATTTCTAGTTCAAAACTTTGAGCTACCCATATGAATTTTGTTGCTGTTATATTCATCTCGACCGGCACTACTCAGTAGCAGATCTCCGAAATTTTGGAATAGTCTTCGGATCAGTTCACTCACTCTAAATTTGCATCAAATTTTAAATCATGTCTCTTGCCAAAGTAATTTATAACTCTATCATATATGAAAATCAAACGCGTTAGATAAGAAAGTGTTCACCCAATTCAGTCTTCTGTGACTCCGCTTAGGGCGCTGGTTTCTGCAAGACACGCCAACATTTCCTCAGACGGCCATTTGGCTTCTATGGTTTAGGGTTCGCTCATAATAAGCTCCAAAATTTTGAAACATTTCTTGCCATTACTACCTGTAGCATCGACTTATTACCGGTGCCGAATCACAATGGAATTGCTGGACAAGGCAGTGCTGATGATCTTTCATCGCTTCGGACAAAACGTAAAAGGCTTTGAATCAACTCAGCAGTGCAGTTAACAGCGTGAGTTTTGATCTATGACTGTCGGATAGACTGGGGTTTTTTGCATATCTCCACCCTTTCAGCATACTGGACATAGAGGTGATTGCGCTGACCAAATGTGAAACGGATACTGAAAGTTCTCGGCTCCATCCAAACATCCAGCTTCGTAGAGAGTTTAGGTAAGAACTGCAAATGAAAACAAATATTCTGCCTTGGAGAATACTAGGGTTCGCATATAAAAGAAGACAAGTAGCGTTACAGTTTCAGTTCACAGCCAATAGGAGAATCCATCAGACCTAGGAAAAATCTTTGAAGGAAGTTAGTTTGATATGCTCAGAGACTCGCAATTCAATAATATTTAAAATATATTTATTTGTAATTTTTATGCGAATTTATATGTAAATAAGTTAAACTCAAAATCCAAAATTGTCGCATAAATTTCATAGATGGCATTTATGTGAGCTTAGTAATCGCGCTCTCTCTATCTCTCTCTCTCCCTCCTGCTCTCCCCCTCTACAAGAATGAAATCGAAACTGAAAGCCGAGCATACAAGAAATCGAAAATCGAAGTCAAGATTAAAACTGAAACTGAAACTTGGCTCAGTCAATGCAGCAGCAGCAACAGCATCGGCCGCAGCTGACAACAGAGACGCGACTTCAACGGTTTGTAGACGCGATTACTTGTTGACTCGTTTGCTCGTTCGGTTGGTTATTTGGTGGTAAAAAGCCATTCTTCCTAGAGTATACAAAATTTTGCTTTGGCCAAAGTTGAAGTTAATGTTAACAGTGAAGTTTATACGCGGATATTGTACATGCACATACATATCTACGCACATATTTGTATAGGAATGAGCTGGCAGCAGCTGTAGAGCAATAAGTTATGTGAACCTGCTACCAATTATTGCATTTATATGTGTATATGTAGTATATGTAAATGCTCTGTTTGTAAGTCTGAAATTGCTCAGAAGAACACCAAAAATATTTCGTTGAGATAATCATATTCGCCCGCAACTTTAGTAAACTTTGTTTAGTTCAACGTTTATTACTTTAGTTGCGGTTTTGCAGGCGCATCGAGCGAACGGTTAATTTGGTGCATATAACGGATTAAGTGAAGCAAATTTAATTATAGATTTAGTAAAATAATACGGCAAACGAATAGGGGTAAAATAAAACAAACTAAAATTAAATATGCAAAATTAAATAAAATTAAGAAAATAGCGGATTAATATAAAATATCATAAAACATAAGAAAATAAACTAAATTAATATAATATAAAAAGAAAATTTAAGTTAAATTAAATTATATCAAATTAAATTAAACTAAATTAAATTAAATAAGATAAAACAAAATAATATCATAAAATCAAATATAACTAAATTGATTTATATTGAAATAAATAAAAAAATAATGAAATAAAATAAAATGAAAAACATAAAAAATAAAATGAAGAAATAAATGTGATAAAAAAATTATGTATCGAAATTTAAACCATAATAAAATAAAATAAAAAAATAAAATAAGTTAAAATAAAATAAATTCAAATGGAAATAAAAAATAAGAATATATATTAAAAAAATATGATACATAAAATAAAAAAGTGAAATTAAAAAATTAAATTAAAAATACAAAATTAAAATTAAACAAAATGATATGAAATAATTAAAATAAAATAAAGTAATTATAAAATAATGCAATTCATTGTAATGAAATATAAAAATTTAAATAATCAAATTAAATAAATAATAAAAAATATAATAAAACAAAACTTAATAAAATGGTTTATATAATGTGTGATTAAATAAAAAATTAATACAAAATAAAATAATACAAAACAGAATAAATAAAGTAATCTAATGAAAAAGATGTAAATTATGAAATATAAAAAATAATGAAACAAAATGAACTGAATGGAAATAAATTGAATAAAAACGTTAAATTAAATACAATCAAAGAAAAGAGAAAAAATAAATGGAATTCAATAAATTAAAATAAAACTTTAGCGTAAATTAAATAAAAGAACATATAAAAAAGAAAGTAAAACAAAACAAAATAAATAAAAATAAAATATTTGAAAACACATACTAATAATAAAACGAAATAAAACAGAATCAAATTAAATAATACAAAATAAATCCGATGCAAATAAAATAAAATAAGGAAATAAACCAAAATAAAAACACAAATGATTTAAAATAAAAATATTTTTCGAAATGAACTTAAATCAAATAAATAAAAAAATAAATTAAATGAACGAAAATAAAAGAGAGCAAATCCAAAATATATAAAAATAATAAAAGAAAAAATTAAAAGCAAATCAAAATAAAGGAAAATAATTTAAAAGAAAAAATGTAAATAAACTAAAATTAAATTGAATAAATGAAACAAACTTAAATGAAATAAATTAAAAATGAATGCAAAAATAAATAAAATGAACAAAAATAAAATAATGGTGAAATAAAAAACTAAAAAATCAATAATGAAATTAAAAAAAAAGGAAAATATTTTTGAAATAAAAATGTTAATAAACTAAATTTAAATTGAATAAATGAAACAACCTTAAATAAAATAAAAAAAATTATTTAAATGATAAATTAAACGAATGAAAATACCTTAAAATATATATTAAATTAATTAAAATTAAATCAAAGTCAAAAAAATTTTAATTAGTATTTGAAAATAAAATAAAATTATTTAAATTCACGTAAAATAAAATAAAGTGAGATAAACTGTAGTAAATTAAAAAATAATATTAATATTTTTAAATAAATCAACTAATAACAATATAGTATAAACCAACTTACAAAAAATTAAGCCTAATTAATTATTTCGGTTTTTATAATTTTATTTACTAATTAAAAACAATTTTAAGTTTCATAATATTTTCGAAGCCTGCGGCGTCAAATGATTGCACTGTGAGATAATAGCACCACATACAACATGGCCTAATTAATTGCCAAAAGAGTTTGAAATTGTGTCATTTTACATAATAAGCTAATAAAGGTAAAGAAATTGCCACAAAAGTTGCCTAAAACACCAAAAAATAAAAATAAAAAAAAAGAAATAAAAATAAAAATATACCCACGCTATAAATTGGGCATTGTAATTTCATTCATTAAGTAAATGTGAAAATAATTCAAGCAAGTGTGTGACCCGCCAAGATATTTTTTCCCCTCCAACAATTCCAAGAACAACAACAATGTGTACAAACTTTCAATGGGAAACAATAAAAATTTGCATTTATTTATAAGAAAAGAATGCGGTTGGTGAACAAGTAAAAACTGTCAAGTGAGAAGCTTATGAAAAAAATATAATAATAATTCATAGTGAAAAAATCAGCTTAAGCCGTGCGCACATACTGAATAACAATTATTCGAAAAAAAATTATAATTATAATAAGTGAAAAAAATTGAAATTAACTTATTTTGTGCGACACCAATTCCAACTGCAGCAACCAGCGCATTGACTCATTCAACATCAAAAAAAAGAGGAAAAATCAAACACAGCAACAACATATTAGACGTAAACATTAATAAGAAAAAAAATCTGCTAAAGCGCCAAACCGCGGCAAGCTCTTAAGCTCATAAAGCGCACCATACACACCTACAAGTAGGTATAAATAATTTTGTATGTATGTATTTCAGAAATTGTCTAATAAAATCGAAAAATTAAAGCTACTCGTTTGCCAACAAAAGGTTTGTGAAATAATAATAAAGTAAATCTAAGTAAAATAGCGCCAAAGGTGAAGTATTAAACATTAAGCGAAAAGTAGTTGAAATGCATGTGAGTGTACAAACATACAAATATATGAAGCAATAAATAACATAATCCACCCGCCACCGTCGACGTCCTCGTCCACGCCTTGCATTGTGCCGGCTGCAAAAGCTGAACATTTAATTCGGATCAAAGTAGTAAATCAATGCATTCACTTGAGCTGTGCAATATACAGACACATCTAAACACATACATACATATGTACATACAAAAATAAATATACAATTGTACTAAGCGCATATGCATATGCATATGTATGTCTGTATGTTTGCAAATATCTGACCATATAAAGAAATCGTTGCATACCTTTTAATTGCATTCATAATGACTCGTACGAGTATTAAAGAAAAATTCATCGAATTATTATTATAAAAAAAAAAATTAAAAATAACAAATAAAAATCATGCAACGCTTCGTTTTTTGCACTACATCACTGGAATCGTCTACTCGTTGTTTTTGAACACGATTTAAAAAGCAATAATGTTAAATGAAATAAAATTATTAACACCGTTGAAGATTGTTTCTAAACTAAGCTTGCGTAATTTGTACTTGGAAATGCATATGTGTTTGTGTGTAACACATTTATGTATATGTATGTATGTGTAAATTACAATTTGAATGCTCGCAATAATTACAATTTAATTATTGGCTGAAATATGTTTTAAATCTGTAATGAAGGTCAATGGCATGCAGAGTTAGGTGTTTTAATTATTGCACAATTAAGAAAACAAACTAATGCTAGGCTTAGCGTAAAAGAAAAATATTAACCAAAGACCACTCCTATTGGCAAGTAAGCAAAACAATACTAAAGTTAACAAAAAAAATTATTATTATAAAAGAAGGAGAACTTCAACCAAAAATCTTACATCTGAACGGATAGTTGCCTATTATATGTATATCGCTAATAAAGAACCAAGAACAAATATTAGGGTTATTAATTTTTTTAATATTCTTCAGGAAAATTTATACACTTTTGCATGCGTTTGAATCAATTTTTGAAGCACTTTCGCCTCCTCTCAGGCACATTGAGTTATCTCCAAAACTGTGCGTTCTGCACTTAACAACCGTCTCATCAGGTGTCGGAAAACGTTGAGCTCCCAGTTATTTGTTGTAAATATTGGAATAAAAGGAAACCTTTGGGCACCAAGTGGAAGCTGTACAGTTGATGACTCTCACCAAATGCTCAAAAATGCAGTTGTTTCAGGCGATGTGTGAGAGCATCCATTGTCACAGAGTGATGTGGTTGGTTTACCGGATTTCTTGAAAGACAACTGGTAAACAAATATCGGAATTTACTCTTCTTCGTTGTCCTTCGGGTATTCTTGGCGACATGCCAAGTTTTTTCGAAAATACAGGCAACAATTTGCTTGGTGCGCCTACAAGTTTTGTTGGATTCGACTCATTTTTGAACACTCATACACTCGTTATAATTAATGCTAAAAAAATAAAATCATATAATTAAAAAATATAATTAATAAAAAGAAGAGCACTAGCTGCCAGGCTTTCAGCTCTCGACTGATTTTTAATTTCGAGCTTTTGCACGTAAATGTACGATTCATCAACTGTCACGAAGTCTTATATGTACGTGTTTCAAAGCACCCCAGTCGTATTTCTTTTAAACTTTTCTCTCGACCAATCGATACGAGAATTTTTTTCTTGAGCAATTCACAAACTGTGACGGATCTTAAATGATAATTTTTTTTTACATTCAAAAGTTCAAGCAATATTTACTCATCACACTAAAGCCTATGATTGTCTCAAACTCACGATATGTCACATGACGATCTGGCAAGTTCGATTTTACTGATAACCTTATTTGCCAGTCTGGTGTTTCGAAACGTCTTTATCTCTCTACTCTGAGTATAAAAATGTAAAGCACATACAATAACTGATCCAATAAAAGAATATAGCTATGAACCTTGAATGATAACATGAAAGAAAAGTTCTTCAAGTTTTCGCTGATTTGAGCTTCATTCTGGTGGAACATAAGGACAATGTGACTAAAGATGGTTCGTATACTGCCTATAATGCACCTCTCGGTTATTGAATGAAATTAATAGCAATCTAATTTACCAGTTATGATAAAGTTAGCCAAAATTAACTTTGATTTTTTAGGCCAAGCTCCTCGTGTTTTTTGCCTCTTGATGTTTTTTCCAACAAATGGACGGACCTATAGTTTATACTAAGACACTTCCGAACGGCTGATGGTTTTTTTACAAGGAACCTTTTGGCCGAAATTTGCTGTAGCGGTTAAAAAGCGCCAATTATATATATATATATATAAAATAAACTTTGACCAAGTTATGTGAAAGAAACAGTTGCGATCTCAACAATCTTTGCATACTAGAGCCGCTGCGGGTCATTTCGAGTTTCTCAATGTGGTTTAAAACTAAATTAAATAAATAATTATTGATATAATTGGCGCTTTGGAACCGATGAAATGATTTACGGTCGAGCTTTTCTTCCAATTTGTGGATGCGTCGTGATGTTTCTCGAATGTTAGAAATACACACGGAGGGGTTGATATTCGCTACCGAGGACTGACCTCAAAGGCAAATTTCAATATATTATTTTTTATTTAATTAAATAAATGGAAAAAAGGATACCTGAAATTGAAAATTTTAAATAAAATAATTATTTCTGAAAAATAATAATTGAAATAAAAGATAATTTTGAATATTTGATAAACAAAATATTTAATTTTCAAACAACCATAGATCAGATCATATTATATTTTACGATAATCATTAAAATCTGTATTGTAAACTAAACTTGATAGTTAAATAAGAATTCCTAATAGATTTTTATGAGTATTGAATATTGAATTTTAAAATGACAGATAGAAAAAATTTTAATATTTGGATTTTTGAAAAAAGAATATCAATTCTTTAATATTCGACGTACAATAATAATAATTAAAAATAATAATTTTTTATTATTCAAAGGAAAGCCTAGCAAATTTTGATATTACTGAATTTTAGTTCAAAATAGTTTTGATAGTTTTGATAATTTTCCGATATTATTATATGTTTGGTTTTAGTCTTATTTCGCCTCACGGAATGGGACTATTTTACTTAAAGAGTTTTATTGAATGGTCAGACACATAAATCATTATCAAAAAAAGGTCTTTATATTATTCATTATCATATCAAATTTATTTTATTGAATTTAAGGATTTTCATTTTATTTCTCATATCTGAAAAATCGGTTGTACGAGAACTAAATGCTGTAGTGCTTTGGTTTTGATGACTTTCAATGTCATATTTATTTAAATTTAAGTGTGTTCTAAAATTCCAAATTCCATGTTCTTTTATGATTTTTTAATGGGCTTTTGATATAATGACTTAAAACTAAACAAGTAAATACATGTTATAGTGGTCCCGAATCATTCACAAATTCATCAAAACCTGAGAAATAAGTTGGTGCACTCATGCAAGCATACGGGCGTGGCTAACACAACTCAACTCACGTCAGCATTCTAATCCGATAGGTACTCGTATACACTATGGTGGTCATTTTCTTCTCCTTCACCTTATTCATATTACATAGGGTTATTCATTTCGTGCTTTCAAGTAGAAGCCTGTATCGCAAGGCATCCGTCGAACTTAAGTTATCCGAATATGCTTATCTTTCGACGTTCTCAAGAGCTGGACACATTTTACCGTATTTCTACTTAGTCTTTCCCCTACAGCGATATAAAGTCCAGCTCACACAACAACTGTAGCTGTCTGACCATTCAAAATGTCCTCCATACATCCATTGGCTGATTGAACAACAGGCAGTAGATGGCAAATTTTCGAACAAAATTTTCCTCAGCGACGGATCATATATCCTACTCTGGAGATACATAAAAAAAACATAGTTTTTGCATTTGAGGCTTCAAGAATACTCAAATAATTGAAGAGACATTACACCCAAAACACAAAAAAACTTACTATCTTGTGCGCTCTTTGGTCCCCAGTGGAGATTGGACCTTACTTCGTTATGGGCGTATTATATATAAACGCCTTTCTTGCCTGAAATTGAAGAACACGACTACGACAATTTGTGGTTTCAACAAGATGGTGCCAAATGCCATACAACACATGCGAATATGGCTAAATTGAAAGAGAAATTTCCCGGCTGCTTAATCTCTCGCCTTGACTATGTCAATGGTCACAAAAATCCTGCAATTTGAAACCATTGGACTCTTCTTTGTGGTTCTACGCGAAATACCGCATATATGTATGCGTAATAAACATTAACTCTTGAGCACTTTAAAAGCAACAATCGCCAAGATATGCCTGAGATATCGCTCAATATGTGCCGAAAAGTGATCGAAGACTACCTCAAACGGATCGAAGTTGGCAAAACTTCGCGAGGCAGTCTATTGTAAGCTGCAGTGTTTCACATATAAAATGCCGCCAAGGTTCAGACTTCATAAAAATGGAATTTTAGGAGAAAAAAAAATTTTAAATACATTTTCGAAAACGCAAAATATAGAACTGTGTACCTCGCTTTTAGGAAAGGTATAAAAAAATATTTATATACATATATATGTATATACTAGCTGACCCCTCAGGCGTTGTCTTGCGTGAAATTATGTTTTTTGAAAAGAAAAGAAAATTGAATTTATATTGTGTTGAAAATCTTTTATTTACGTTTTGTTACAGCTTGATAAACAACATTTTTTGTTTTCTCTTCCGGAGGGTAAAAGTACAGCGTAGATGGTTTTCCAACTCTTGAACACGCCTCGTATAGCTGGTGGTGTGAAAAACATGGAATTTTCAGATTTATGCCACGTACTTCCAGGGACTGCCCTTGTTGCCTGTTGATTGTCATTACAAGTGCAAGTTTCCCTGTAAACCGTATACTTTTGAACTGAAATGGCAAATAATTAGAACTCACTGGAATTCGTGGTATCAGCATTCTGCCCCCTTGTAAGTCCCTATCAAAATTCCTTCAACTGCCACATTATGCGGTAGTTGAATAATTTTCAATAATTTACCTTTTGATTAGCCGAAATAAAGAAAGCAATCGAGCGAAATTGAACAATTCAAATAATTTTCAGATCAGCTGAAAAAGTAATACAAATAAGTTCCAACAAACGGAAACTGTCTAATAAACAAATCAGAAAGAATAAAATTAAAAAAAAAAAAAAAACAAATTAAAAAAAAATGTATCGGAAAATTCACTTTAAATTTCTCAATTATTCGACATTTCCTCAGTGAGTTTTTTATTTCCGAACGCTCCCAGATTCACAATGAACCAACATCTTGATGAAACATTTCTGTAAATATGAAACTAAATTTCTTTCTAATCTTTCCCTCTGCTCTAGACTCAAGTGTCTTCAATTTAATTTACAACAAACGCTCTATTTCCTTTCAAAGATTTTTATAAACATTTTTTCCCATCTAAACTGCGGGTTACCACATTCTTTCCGCCGCACCTTACACACAATATATATGTATGTACATATATGTACATACATGCATACGTAGTATATACGCGTACATACTGCATGTAACATGAGCAGATCGTAGCTTTCAAAATCAATTTTTCACCAAATTACGAACATCTCTGCCGAAAAATTCACGATTTCGTTTTAATTTTATTATTGGTTATTTCAAAACGTTATCAAAAGCCAATTTTATTACATCTTACACAACACTCAAAACATCAATTTTCGGTTACTCGTCATCGCCTTTTTACTTCTATGATGTGTACTGTAGAGGCAATTTTAAAGAAAGAAAGAAAAAAATGCATAAATAAATAGGCAAAACAAAAACAAACTGAAACAAATAAAATCCCAAAAAAAATCTTCTCGGTTGTCAAACTATTTGTGCCTCCATCAGTTTTGGCAACGAAGACACCACCACCACCAACACCGCATCCGCCAGCACGACCATCAACCAACCATCCGCAACAACAATAACAAGTGTTGCTTACGGCAAATGCCGGCATTACAAATATACCGTTCCCACCGTTCAGCAACGAAAGCAAAGATTGCGGGGTTAGCTGGTTGCTTGGGTCGGCTGCTTGGAGTTATTGCCCAAGCAAAGAAAAAAAAACGACGAATTTGCTAAGAAAATTTGCTACTACGAATAACTGCAAAATTGTTAGTTGCAAGTGTGTGTATGTGTGTATGTACGTTTGTATGTATGGTGAATTTACATATTTACAATACCTTTGCGCCGGTACACTTTGCAATGACGGCTGTGCTGCATATGTAGCGGCAAAGTAGTCAATTGTCCTGGTCAATAGAAAAGTGGTTGCGGTAGTCACTATGTACTTGCATATACGTATGTATGTATGTGCGAGTATGCATGCATTGTACATGCAAATTTCTTGTCGTCATCGCTGTGTGGTATGTACATATGTATGTATGTATGTATGTATGTATGTATGTATGTATAGCTGATGTCGGTGTCGCTTAGCTGCCAAATTGGCTGGTGGTTGACCCTTTTGCATGACTTTTCATTTCGTTTCGTCTACGAATTTGTATTTCGAGATTCATTTTGACGATTTGTTGTTGCCTTTTTATGCTGATTTTTTATGGAGAAGTGTCTGACGGACTAACTGGCTGTGTACTTGCAAATAATATGTCTATATACATATTTATAAAATTTTGTGCATGAAAAGGTATGTACTCGTATGTATGTATGTCGGCATGATTGTACGGCAGGTATTTTTAGCAGTAAATAGCGATGTGAACGGCAGGTAGCTCATGGCCAATCAATTAAAGGCTTTTTTTAATATTTTCTCATTCAAAATTTTTGCCAATTTAAAATAATATCATTCCTGCGCTTACAGAGGAATTTTAGCATTTTTAATGGACATATTTCATAACTACTTTTTATTGCTCACATAACCTCGTTGTAGTTCTTTAAATTAGAAATTGAAAAACTTTAGAACAGTAGTGCATTATCTTATGCCTGCTCGCTCCCTTTGCTTTTCCATGTCTCATGTTAACTCACTGAGGCGGTCCTCCCGTGAGCCGACCGGGGTTTCGGCCGTGTCCTGCAGCGGCTTAAGGCTTGGCATTAGGTCCTGCAGGCCGGAGGCTGGATTGTTATTATTAATTCAGCTTTCCGGTTGTTTGGCGACCCGCTGGGAAAAGAACTTTCGGTTTTCAGAATTATGGAAATTGGAAAGAAATCATTTGTTCTGTTAAAGCCACATGCCGCAACAAGCCGTCCCAGCCGTTAACCCCAGATATGAACCGGTCTCCAGAAGGCCAAGTTAGAATACAAACAAACTTACGTGTTTCAGTTTCGTTTTAAGAATACCACGGAAAAGTATGCCCCCTTAGATAAGGAGGATCTAGATCCGTAGTGTTTAGTTGAATTAATGGGGTCATCTCCGGAAAGCTATTTGCCACCATATAGTAACTGATTTCCACCGTAGTTACAATCTCATTACCAGCATTAAGTTGAACCCATTACACGGTGCAGAAGGCCGAAGGAAAAGCAGCGCTGCCGCTTTTACAGAATTCTTTCAAAAACGCAATCTCGTAATGATCGTTAAAAACCTGTTAGAAAGAATCAATTCCGAACCCAACATCGCACCCCACAAAAAGAGCATGAAATGAGCTTTAGAGCTTCGAAATGCCGCCTTTCAAAAAAATCGAAGCCGAAAGACTCTACCTCGAATTCGACCAAAAGTCAAAAAACCAGGAAGTGTTTTTTGAGAATCCTATCTCCTTCTCGGGCGCACGAGCTATTAGAAAATCTGATATGCGCTATGAGATTCTTACAGCTCGCTGTGGTTAACTCAGCGAGATAGTCGATATGGTCTTCTCCGAGACTTCAATGTTGCATTGTAACAAATTCTGGACAGCCGCTAAGGTATTATTCGACATATTCTTCCACATCTCTGCAGCTAAGACAAAATCGTTTGAGATGCATCCCACTTTTTACCATGAGTTTCCATTAAGCATTATCGCAGTGTCCTGTGATGATTACAGTGAAGAAGAATTCCCTAACCTGTTAACGACTGGCGCTGGCCAGATCTATCTTTTCAGATTAGGAACCAAAACTGGGAGAAGCTACTTTACAGCTGACAAATAGAATTAGGTATCTGGAAATGGTATTGGGTGGCGAGTCTTCGTGGAGACTCAATGTAGAGGAACGGTCCTATATGATATTGGGCTGCACTTGGAGTCTCTCCCGCTATATCTTTCACTGGATCTTCGTTGCTACGGTTAAGTCAATATGGTCTATGGGGCTTTAGTATGATGGAAGGTTAAGAACAAAAGATCAAATCAACACTTTCTATCCGAGACAACAGTAACTAAAATTAGACATTCTTAACTGCTGCGAGTTTGTAGGTTTTTAAGCAGCACCGGTAGGACTTTTAACGGGGTATCTAGCATCTCCTGCTTTATATAGGTCTGATTGAGGACAATAAGTGCAGGCAGAATGTAAAGTGTGAAGCTCCAGCATTCAGCAAGCAAAGGCTCTTTTTTTACTTGGCGCAGAAAGGCTATAGACAAATTGACAATGAGCCAAACGACAAAACGACTACTTTAATCAGGAATAGAACACGTATGTTCTTTACTCCAGCGGCACAATAAAGAAAGATGTATTGCAGCTTGGTTGCATGTAGTGTGTCTGGAAAAACGATGGAAATCCAACGCAATATCACTCTTGCCAACAAATACTACATCGGACTGAGTAATGTGGGTAACAACACTCGATCTTCCACAGTTTTCGACACAGTACCTGCTGGTGGAAGCGTAGAAAGGTAACGATCTCCACTCGGTTGAAAAGATCAAGCTTTACTTGGGGACGAATGTCGCGCTGTTGTCACTAAACTGTCTTTTAAGATCGACATTCCATTAGTATTGGACGACAATATCAGGCAAATAGCCACCACGGCTTGCTCCAGATTCATCCAATGACCCCGCCGAACTACAAGCCGCGCCCAAAAGTTACCGGTTGAGGATGGGGAGGCTTTTCAACGAAAAGTTTTAAGGTTTTGAAGCCCAGATACGACAAAGTTGCTTAAAGATGGTTTTTCGATCAAATTCTGAATATTTTTCATGCAAATCAGCAATGACACGATGTTGTTGATGATCGGCCGGTTTGAGCTCTTGTGCTAATTGAACTTTATAAGCCTTAAAACTCAAGTCTGCATGCAATTTACGGTGTAAGGACCTTCTCTTTCTAACTGCTTTGAGCAGATTTCGTAAAATTATTAGCAATCCGCCTCTTCAAGTGGAATTTCAATCAAAATAATGACTCTGCATACCATTAACAGCGACAACCTGACTGAAGATCCATGCAACGATTGGACGGCCATTAATGTCTTGAGACATCAAAGAGCGATAAGAAAATGTAAAAAAATGCAATTTGTTTTTAATTAAATGAAACACATAAAACGAATTACCTTAAGCAAAGTTGTTTTTATTTATTAAGAACTTCTTACAAATCATTAAAGTGGTGTTGTAATACAGTTTAATTAAACGTTCTTTTTTCTTCCAAGACCGCAGCACGAACACCAACCAATAAAAATTTGTATGCCACAGCAATATCCAGTATCCAGTAGCACGGCAGACCGCAGCAAAGTACCAACAAATTACGAAATGTGTTAGAAGAAATAAATAATCAATAAACAGCGTAAGCAGAAGAGACAAGTAGCAAAGCCACCAATGCGATCTTCATTGAAGTAGAACTTCAAGCCACCAAACAACAAAACAAAAAAGAAACCTGAAATGCTAAGCAAAAAGTTATGTATTTGTTTTTGTTGCCACGAAGTAGAAGTCTGAGTTTACATAATCCAAATCGAAGCACCACAAACAGCTAGAAGTAACTACTAACCAAAAGCAGAGTCTACCGCATCTACAGCACTGGCTATATCAATGCCTTTATGACAACATAAACCGCAACTGAATTCGATTCTTCTTCTTCTTCGTCATCGTCTACGTCCTCCACTGGCACTGCACCTTCGTCTACAACGCGCTCTCAGCCAACCAACCGCAACTGACAATTTCATTCTTGACGCTCGTGGTCTTACGTGTGTGTGCGTTTACCTGAGTGCGGCAGCGGCTCGATTAACGACTCGCTGATTAAACTTTACAAAATCGATTAGAAGCGGCGCATATCTTCAAAAGCTCGCACACAATACAGGTGAATAGTTGAAGGCCTGCCTAGATAGAATGGCTACCTCGACCGGTGACAGCTACGGCTACGGCTGTGGCTACGACGGCGAAGATGTCATTGAAAGCGATGCAAACGCGCGTGAAATGACCATAAATATGGCTGAGTCTGTAAAAACAAATAATCACATGGTCAACAGTGACAGCAACAAGAAGAGTCGCCACGTTGAGCCCAGCAAACGCAGCGAGACGCCAAGCAAAAAACTAGACACAACTAAAATTGGACAAACAAGTGCGCGTACGGCTGAGGGCCTACGCCGCCAAGCGACCAAATACCCACACGGACTGAATGTCAGCATCCAAACAGTGAGCGGCGATAATGAGCAACATCAACGACAACACCAACATATGAACGTGAACAAGAATAGCAATAGTGTTGGCAACACTACAACAAACTCGAGCAGCGAGTTGAATTCAAATTATGGTTACTCACGCGCCTCCACACTGCGCAGTAGTTGGGATGGCAACAAGAGTAATGACGACAAGCAACGCAGAGACCACAACTCAAGTAAAGCGGACGCGTTGTCGACGTCCGCAACCACGTCGACGTCGTCCTCAGATAACAGCCACCACACATATCGCATTAGTATGATCAGCAGTCCGGAAAATCTGGCCGAATTGCAAATGCGTCGCTACAAGTATCCACTCACCGGCAACTACTATCTGGACACACAAGATGTGGCCAATGCCGGCAAACATCCGCCACCCCTGCCGGTGCTGCGTACATACCTACAACGTTTCGGCCGTTGGAAATACCTACGTTGGCCCATCATATTTGTGGCGAGCACACTGCTCTTCTTCGGACTCATAACATATTGTATTTGGTTGCACGATGTGAGTGTGGCAAGGGACCGATACCAGCGACGACGGCAAGAGCTCGGCAAAGAGGCAGCACAGGTGGTTACTGATAATGAAGCACAACTTATCAGCTTCGTTGTCAGCACGTTGGATGAGAGTGTTACAACCACAACTTTGCCAACAACCACAAATGCGCGTACGGTTGTAACCACAGACCGCAATCAGGAACACCTGCAGGAATCGACAATTTTACGGGCAATTAACACTCAGCGTCATCAACCACAGCCAACGCCTAATGGACGTAAGCTCACGACTTTCAAGTATTTGTTGCCAACGAAATACCGTGATGTTGCTGCGAGTGATGGGCAAGGCAAGAAAAATGGCGAGAGCATTATACAGGAAGAGTACGAGACCCCAACTGAAGCCACTACTTATGCCAGCGCCGAGGCAGCACTGGTGCCCACGAACGTACTGCATTATAATGGTTTCAATGGCCATCAGAATAGTTTTGGTGTGCCCATCGAGGAGGGCCATCGTCTTTTGAGACTTTTCAATAAGGTGAGTATTGAAGAGTTCTTACTTGTTAGATATAACGATTAGTTTTGCAGAGATACACCAACCTTTTGAAATTTCATGTCTTTCAAGCCCGTTACAGGATGATGGCAGTACCTGCTCAAAGTTAGAGTCTTCTTCTTATTCATGCTCATTGATTTCATTTCTCGATTTCTAATACTCTCAGAAAAGGATCAGTTTCTCAAGGACTTCCAGTTAGTCATACAATAATAACACACGGACTAGGTCGAAAAAGTAAGGCCTAATGACCTAGCTGGACCATCAACCGCACCTTACAGTTACCGTATAAAAATAAATCTTAGGTTTTCCGAGCTAAGATGTGACAGTTTTGCTTACTGACGTAGCCGTTAAAGTGGAAATGGATCGCATCAGTCAAGATGACTTTGCGATGTAGTTCCGGATGATTTTCAGAGACTCAATCGGCAAAGACAAGACGTTGTTGATGATCGGTTGGCTTGAATTCTTATGTTTACTGAACTTCAGAAGCCTTAAGACACTCTTCACTCTTCAGTTAAGATTCCACATGATACTGTGGTTAGGTGTTCAATAAATCAAGTCCAGTAACACCGACCGTTGGGTCTTTTTGCCGAAACAACGCCCAGGCCGTCATTTAGGAATTGACTCATTTTTCGTAAAGTTTTCGAGTATTTTACTACTAAGTATCTGATTCATTTTCCAGTTGCTTGATCTAATTGATAGAAATTTTTGCGACGATGTCTAGGACCCTGGACCGAGTCGAATTAAGAACTCTTTTAAGTATAAATTAGACACTTGACTTCCGACGCTGGTTGTGATTACTGGTGAGGGACCTCTCAATGCAAAATATTTCCACAGAAGGAAAGAAGTCACTAATACCTATGTCTAATACTCCCCTGGTGATCTTCGTTTTCAACAGGCGCTAGAGATAGATTGCTTACCAAACCCAATCTACCCCTCGTTCATTTCAAGGACCTCTAACCGATTTTCTCTTCCAACTTGTCATGGGCTATTGGATGTTTTTCTTTCAAACTGTCTCCAAACGGTGAATGGAATTTTATAAGGGGCTCTTTATTTAAAGTCACAAATACATTCCAATGGAACGATCTTATTAAGAGAAGTCTTTTTAAGAAGTTAGTTTGGCTGAAGCTGAAAGACATGAACCAGCGGTTTATTCCTAGAAGTGAGAATAATAACTTTTTTCTCTTTCTATTAAACTTTCTCGCAGGTCCTTTCACCGGATCAACCCTTCACGGCAACAACAAAGCCCGTAACAAAAGTCTCACCCACAATACCACCTCTGGTACAATATAAGCCCACACATGCGATGTCTTCCGGCTTTCGCACCACCGCACAAGATAACGGCTGCTACTCAACATCGCTGTCTATGTGTCAGGGTGTGCTTGACTATGATCTAACCTACAACTCAACAACGAAACTGCAATTGAGCGATAAGAAGGCTTTTCAAAACTTGGTTGAGTCGAATTGTTCGGCGCGGGCATTGGAGTTTGTATGTGTTACACTCGAACCGGAGTGTAGGCCATCACATATTGGCAACTTGCCACCGTGTCGAAGAATTTGTAAAGGTAAGTGAGGGCGAAAAAAAAATATTTAATATGTGGACTCTAAAAATTATGTATCGCCATCAGCTGTGCTCGAAGCTTGCTCCATCGTCATCGCCAATTGGGATTTACTCAATGAGCTATTCGACTGTAGTCTCTATCCGGACACCAGCGATCCACATAAATGCGAGGATCCCACGAGAAGGCGTGACTATTGTTATGACAACGAATTCGCCTGCTATGATCGCACATGCATACCTCAGCAGTGGCAGTGTGACAACATCAAGGATTGCGCAGCTGGTGAGGATGAGGAGAGTTGCCTGATCTGCGATCATCAAGATGAGTTTCGTTGTCGTTCGAATGAGAAGTGTGTGCCAGAGTCTGTGCGTTGTGACTCCAAATACGATTGCTTTGACGGTTCGGACGAGGAGGAATGTGATGAGTATGGTTCTGGCGAAGAGGCGGCGGCCCTTTTCGATGAAGCCGCACTCAACTCATTTCCACGCGTGTTCTCCTATGCCAGCTTTCTGTCGCCGAATCAAAGTAATGAGGGGTTGTACACCTACATAACAGCGGCGATGGACGATGAGAATGGCACGAAGTTTCAAGTGCATGAAATTACTAATCGCACAAGCGGCATATCCACCGAAGAGGTTACGAACAGTGTGCCCGGTGAGGGACCGAAAGGTTTTGGTAAGTACTGCTGCGTGTGGATACTTGAGGGGTATATTATTAGCACTCAAATTTCTTGCAGTGAACTTTCGCGACAGCAAGGAGATCATGATGACCAGCGACACGGAGAATAAATTCAAATATTCCTCGGCAGCCACCACCTCACGCGTCAGTACCACGACTACGAACCGGAATGCGCACGGTGGGAGCAGCAGCAATAGATTGTACTTTGGCGCCACAACACCGTTGAAACCGGCCGCATCAATGCGTATTGCCGTCACCACGGAACCCGCCAGCTTTACTGACTCTACGCGCGACGACACCACCGACAACATAAACCCAAAACATCCGGCGTTAAATACTTGTGCACCACACCAGTTGCGTTGTGTGAGCGGAGAATGCATTACAGTCAATCAACTCTGTGATAAGGTAAGGAACGCGCGGCCGAGGGCGTGGTTTTCAAGTACTTTGGAGTTTGCGGCCTCGCTTAGTAATGTTGATTGGATATTTCAGAAAATTGACTGTCCAGATGGTGCTGATGAACTGATGTGTATCTACAAGGAACAGCGTAGTAGTTCAACAACAACAACAACCAGCAGAACAACGACAATACGCAACAATACAGACAATAAAAGTCCATCACGTAGCAGAAGTGTCCGAACGCAAATGGCGACAACGACAGTACGCACTGCTGATAAGCGCTCCTTGACACGCACAACAATAAAGCGTAAGGTGAAGCCGTAATTTTGCAGCAGCAGCAGCAGCAACAACAACAACAACAACAACATGAACTATATTGGGAACAAGCAAAATAACAATACAAAAGGCGACTACACGTTGCAAGTAGAAGCCGTTATTGTTGGACACTGTAATCAATTTGCACTGAATATATGTATCCAAGTGTGTGCGTGTGTGTATGGGTGTTTGGTGTGTGCGTGTGAGTTTTGATAAGTCCTCTGCAGTGAAGCATACCTGGTTGCACAACTTGTAGCATATGCGAACATTCACGAGCATACATACATACATTTCTATTCTTATACATATAAATATACATATGTATGTATGTGTGTTATGTTTGACTTACGTATGGCGTACCTATAACGTTAGCTTATGTACTTGCGTTTAAATAAATATATTTGTTTAATTCTTAGTATTCCATTGTACCTATAATTGTACCTAAGTAGGTATATATGTATGTATAATATATACACACATGTATGTATGTATATATTTATAAATATAAGTTACACAATTGTATTATATTATTTGATTTTTAGTATTTAATTGCTCTTATGTACATTTTTTCTGTATGCACATATACATATATACATATGTAGAGAATAAGGTTATGTTTTTAAAAAGCAAGATTTCCCAAAAAAAAAATCTTCAATTTATTTCTAATAAAAATTGAAAATAATTGCGATTCATATTAGTTTTATTATTGCCATAACCTGAGCTCAGTTAGAAGCTATTACGAGGGAATGGACAATATTTGACTCAGAAAAGGGGTTTTAGATGTTAAACTCTTTTCTTCTTTGGTTTCGGCAACGCCTACGCGATTATATATATAACTGGCGCTTTTTAACCGCCTAAGCGATTTTTAGACGACCTCTTAATCTAATTTGTGGTTTTGCGTCTTTCTGTTTTTCTAACAAAATGGAGGGATCTACAATTTACATGAAACTGCCTCCGAACGGCTGATGGTTTTTATGAGGAGCCTTTATTTCATGTCAGAAATACACTCGGAGGAGTTGATATGCCCTGCCGAGGGGCGACCGCAATTAGAAAATTTAACTTAACTTTTTGATTCTAAATTAGTTTTCTATAACTTTGGGATGTTGGTGGTACCAGAACTTGAATCCTGGTCTTCCGAATGGCAATGCGCAGTACTAACCACTGGCTAACCGCGGCCGCGATAATAGCCGAATTAAAAATAGCGCGCTATTCGTTAATTCCTTTACATGTTCATCTCTAATTAGAGACCCCAGATGAGGACAGCTCCTTGTTCCTCTACTTCGAATACTTTCCAAGCAGAAGTGTTCTCAACCATCTGAACGACATGACCTAGCCAACCTTGCCGCTGTCTCTTAATTAACTAAATAATTTAATGACGCCGTATATCTCGTACAGCTCATCGTTCCATCGACTGCTATAGTTGCCGTCATTGTCCACGCCTCCCCGCTACATAGCGGGAAGAGTGAGTTTGGTCTTTGTTCGTCGCGCGAGAACTTTACTTTTCAAATTTTCTCTCAGTCTGAAGAAGCAACTGTCTGCATTGAATTTCCAGGTTGTTATTGTTGTTGGTGTTATTACTGGTTAAAAGATAACGAAGTTGTCCACGACTTCAAAGTTATGACTGTCAACAATGGGATTGGAGCCAATTCGCGAATGCAATGACTTGAAGGCAGGAGTTATTTTGCCTTTTTCTCGCTCACTAGCATACCCATACTCTGCGCTTCCCTACTCAGTCTGGAGAAAGCGAGGTATTTGAGGCTTCCTTACTCAGTCTGGAGAAAGCGGTATTTGAGGCTAATGATGTCAATATCACTCTTGTAGATGGTTCTACCTTCCCTATTCAGCTCTGCAGCTCGTATTATTTTCTCCAACAAAAGTTTGAAGAAGTCATACGATTAGGAATCGCCCTGTCTGAAACCTCAATTGGTACCGAACGTCTTATTGAGGTATTTCTCAACTCTAAAGGAGGCTTTGATGTTACTGAGTATCAGTCTGCTTACCCGTAAAAAGTAAGTGGGGGTACCCAAACTCCAACATAGCGGCATGAAGATAACTCCTTTTTCGTGCTGACGAATGCTTTTTTCAAATCGCTGTTTGTCGACGCTTTTCTCAAGGATTTTTCCAGAGATTATCTTAGCAACTCTGAAGCCACACTGATTAGATCTAATCAGTTTGTTGACAGTAGACTTCAATCATTCGCGGAATTTTCTTGATGGGAACTTAAATGCGATATTAAGAAGGTTTGTTTCAAGATAATTGGAGCAGTTTGTTCCCTTTTTTTATGGAGAGTACCGTCGGACCTGATTTCGCATGACCATATTCTGTAAGCATTCTGATGCATGAAACTTGTCAGTTCCTTATCGCTGTTCTTAACTACCTCAGCTTATGCTGACCTAAGCAGATTCTTTTCGCGCGATGACACCCAAGACGAAGAATCCCTGATTAGTACTGCTTTGTTGACATACTGCATACCGTATACTATGCACTACTGTCACCGTCAGAGTTGCTTTGACATACTAAACACATCTCCCCTAACAACCACTCTTTTCGCGAAACCGCCCATAAAGTATTACCACACAGAGCTGGTGAACGAGACAACTTGCCGCACGTTACTGGATTCGATAGCTTTATAGGTTTATCAAGATAAGATGTGTAAGCTAATTAGAAAGCTGCAGAGGTATAACCTCTTCACGTGTCTAGGTCGCCGAAGCTGTGGTAACGCTGGTCGGAATAAAATATCGGTTGAACTGCGATATGGAAATGCTACGATTGTGAGAGTTGCGTAATTACCAACATCGCAGCAAAGGGTTTTCATACCAACTCATCTAACTCCCTATTTCTTGGATCCCCCAAGGGATGATCTAGGTTGCATTAGTTAGTTGGACCTAATGGCATTTGAATCTTTATAAAGCGAGCTAAAATCTATGCAAAACTTGCATCTTTCTTTTTCTTCTGTCAAAAGGTGTTAAACAGGAGAGAAATAGACTTGCGAAGCGAAGAAAGGTACAGGGGCAGGATTCTTTTGTCCCATCATTATAGCGTAAGTAGTTTGCAATCTAATGTCTATTACTCTGTTTCCCAATAAGATATTGTGGTCATAACTGAAGGTGGCAAATGACGACCGATTTAAAAGACAAATCCTTTGACTTTCTCTTGTTGACAGCCAAACGGCAAGTAAGTCTAAATGTATGGTAATTTGTATAGAGATGATAAACAAACTTTGGCGTGAAATATAAAGAAAGTAGTGTTAATGAGGACGAGCTGACTTACCCTGGCACTAATCCAACGTCCTCAAGATCCTGCTGCATTTCCAACATTGGGTGCGCTACTACCACTTTTTAGACCAACGTGGATTGCAGATAGACAAATTTTCACTTGCACTAAGCATAATGAAGCTTAAAATGATCGATAATTTATTTACGGTGCATCTTTAACGAAGCTCCAAGCATCATATTTGCCTAATGCATAGATGGTATATACAGGGAAGCATAATGAACTTACTCAAAGGCTTGAGTACGGCAGCTTGGGCTCAGATCCTCAACAACAGCAAAACCAATTCAAATCGTATTTATAAATTAGATGAGAAGTCATACCTTTTACGCTTTGTAGGCTGACCTAATCCGTTGAGTGGGATGTCCAGAACGTCTAGCTTTTTTATTGTTTTTCTTGTGCAACGCAGTCACTTTTGTTAGCTTCTGATTTTGTATTAACCATTGCTGGTGACTCTCTATCTTATTTTTGTTGTTATCCATCGTAGTTATTAGCAGTGGTGTTAACTTGCCACTTACCGATCATTAGCAACAATGCTGTTACTAGACTGCACCTTTTACATTGCTAGGCACCCATCGTCACGCCGTAGGTGCACTTACCATTCGCTACTCATTATTTTAACCATGTGGTCTAAAGGCTTCCGGGGTCTACAAACTCACTCACGCTCTCTTTCCCGCTTTCTCTCACTGTCTCCCTCTATCTCTCTCTCTTCATATATCTCCTTATCTCTCTATATATTTCGTTTTCTCTCTCTCTCTCTCTGTCTACCTCCCTCCCTCTCCCTCTCTAGCAATACATCACGCTCTCTCTCTCTCTCTCTCTCTCTCTAGCAGTTCATCACGCTCTCTCTCTCTCTCTCTCTCTCTCTCTCTCTCTAGCAGTTCATCACGCTCTCTCTCTCTCTCTCTCCCTCTCCCTCTCTCTAGCAGTACATCACGCTCTCTCTCTCTCCCCCTCCCTCTCTCTCTCCCTCACTCCCTTTCTCTCTGCCTCTCTTTGAACTTTTTTCACTGATCTCTGATCGAGCGTGTTTCAACAGTCTTACTATTTTAAATCCGTAACTACTGCAACTGATTTCCACAAACCCGGTGCTTGGATTATAAATGATGATTAGAGTTGATTTCCGACATCCCTTAAAGCGGTATCAGGCGATTCTTAAGCCACGATCCCACATGATTATAGCTTCATTCTGTTTATAGTAGTTCCAGGAGTAGTTTTGGTGTCGAGAAACTTTTGTTATGATTCAAAAATTTAAAAAAAAAAAAATTAAAAGATGGATAGAAGAACTTCGATAGAACTATCGCTCAGAGAAAACCAGCTTAAGGACTATTTCTCTTAGTCTTAATGACAGGTAGTGACACTTGAAAGACCTGCAACGTCTTCTTGAACTCTGCAAAAACGTTGACGTCCACTTAACTGAATTAACTTTAAACTCCGTTGCAGGCAGGTAGTATAACCTAACCTAATTTTGAGATGAAAAAATCAATAAAAAGTTAGCCGATCGCTATTGCGAGGTGAATACGAGTAAGTGCATGTGCGCATGTGCAATAAATGGAACCCAAATGAGCTATGTAATAAATACAAAATCGATTTTGATTGATTGTTTCGACACAAAACCGATTTATTTTTGTTTTTGCCAACCTTTTTTTTACTGAAAACATTTTCTTTTATTCTCGCATTTATCACACACTTTTGACACAATTTTGCGCAAAAATCTAAGTACGAACACACACACCTACAAATAACTCCATGCAGGCAGCTAAGCAAACGCTTACATAATCACTTAATCCCAGCAGGGCGCGGTAATTTTTCGGTTGCCGGCAGCCGATATCGCCTAACGCCTAATTATTTTCTATTTTCAGCGCTTTTTATGCACTTTTGTGGGTTTTTTCCTATGTTTTTTTGCAAAAAGAGGAAAGGGACGATGGCACGGCGATTATTGTTGAAACGTTTAATTTTGATTTGGATCACTCAAAATGTTTGCCATTCTCGCCCGAAGAATCGAAGAACGAAACGTCAAACGGCAGCTGCTTTTCGTCAACCGCCACCACCACCACCAATCTCTGCCGTCACCGGCTCGCTTACCCAACAATTAATTGATATCAATCATTGCATTTAGGGAATTTTCGAACTTTTCCTAAACTTTTTTCACAAAGATTCTCAGATTTCACGAAAAAAATATGCCAGAAACCGTTAATTAAAAGGGAAAAGGGTTGGTTGTTGG